GCCAATAATTGTAGTATCTTTATAGGTTGTAGTGATCCATGAATGTTTAGTAGGTGCCTTGGTAAGTAGAGTATAGGAGTTTAGAAAAATGAGTTTGCTAGTGAGGTTAATTGATTCAGAGTTGATTTGAGTAGTTAGAACTATTGTTAGTTAATAGAACCATTTGGGTAAAGGTCCTCGAGGAGTTTTGTTAGTAGTGTATGCAATGAAATTTCATAGTAGTGGGGTAGTATTATTGTAGTTAGTGATCTGCTCAATGGCAAAGATGTTCATCTTGTTGGTTTTTGCTTTAATGGTATGCGGATTTGGGTATTGGTTGATTAATTGGTCGATGCTATATCCTTTGAAGTTGAGAGTAATTGGTCTTGAATTCATTCCGCTTAGTATAGTGATTCTGAGTTTATGCATTTCTATAATGATGGTTGCAGTGGTAGTATAGTTGTGTGGGAGTAGGAGGATGAAGTTAGCAGAGAGTAAGATATTTTGAGTTGTGGAAGCAGCATTTTGGAGTTGTTAGAGACGTATGTGGGTTATTGTATTATTGTTATAGTTGAAGTCATTTAGGAGTATGGTTGTATTAGAGATATGGTGTCAGATTTGGTTGTCCCATAATTGTTGTAGATTGTAGATTTGGTGATGGAAAAAAGTAGAGTTGGGTATTGATGTAGCTATTCCTGCTTTGTGTTTGATAATAGTAGTATATTTTCTAGTGAGATTGTTGCAAGACGATAGAGGCATGATTGTATTTAGAATACAGTAATTAAATCTAGATATTATAACAGTATTAATTATATAAATACATTGTTTGTCAGTGATTTTTTTCTTTTTGATAAGTGTGAGTACTTGATTAATTTCGTTGTTAATAATTTTATGAATAGGCGTATGATTTTTGTAAGTGGTGAAATAGTATCCCAGGAATCTAAAAGTGTCTTTAGGCTTAATAAGAGTTAGGGTAGTATTGTTGAAGTATATAGGAGGCTTGTTAGGAAAGTTGTTATTAGTGCATAGGAAGGATTTTGTAGGATTGACATTGATTTTTGCAAGTTTATAGAAAGATGATACTGTGTTAATAATTTGTTGAAGTTGGGGTTGTGTATGTGCTATCCAAAGTGTGTCGTCTATATATGCTAGTACTGGAATATTGAATGAAGTGATTTTGTTAGAAGAAGGAGTTGGGTTAGTAGTTGTAGAAAGCGTGTAGCCTTTATAAGTATTAGAGATAGTAGAGAGAAGTGGGTCATAATATATGCGCTATAGTATAGGAGTGATTGTTTCACTCTGATCGATTCTATCTTGTACAGTATATAGATCTATGTTTCTGAGGTTAGTAATAACTTGGTTTTGATATTGTGAATAGATATCGAGGATAATTTGTTGTATTGTTTTTGGAACCTTGATTCTATTGAGAGCTTTTATTAGTAGTGGAATATGAACAGTGTCATAGGCTTTGCTCATATCCTGTGATAGGGTCCAAATCTCTTTATTTTGTGAGGAAGCATTTTCTAGGATATATCATAGTATTTGAATAGGTGTAGTGGTAGTCAAATGTGGTAGAGCAACATAGTTGTGTGAGTTTAAGATAGGGTATTAGTTAAGTATAGTATTTATACAGTTAGTAATAATTTTAGTGTAGATTTTCTGTGTGTGTTCAATGAGAGTGATTGGGTAGGTATGATTTAGTTCTCTTGTGAATATTGGTTTTTTAGATATGGGGAAGATATTGCTTTGTTTCTAATTCTTAAGTATCTTTTGTGTAATGAGGCATTTGTTGAGTAGTAGTAAGAGTAGTTTATGGAAGATGTTGTCAGCATTTTTGATCATTTCGTTAGATATTAGTGTGGGGCCAGATGCTTTATTGCATGAGGAGTTGTTAATAGTAGTAAGTAGTTCATGAGGAGTAATAGGATCATCCAGGTTCTAGTACCAAGATTGTTGGATATGTGGTTTAGGTTGATATTCTTGTTGCCAGTTAGGCTATTCTGTTAAATTGAAGGGGTTATATTTTGTCCATTATTCATAGTGAGCTCTGATCTGTTGTTTGATTTGTATAGGTTCATGTATTAGTTCTGACGTAGTGCAAATATTGTGGAAAATTGCAGGTTTGTGGTATTGTTCGAGGATACTATTGATCATTGAGATAGTATTGTTAGTAAAGTCATTATATCTTTTGGTTATTCGTTGTTAGATCTGTTCATTTTGTGCGGTATTATTCTTAATATTTCATGCAGTATAGATTGTTTTCTGGTATACTTTAAAGTTTTGTATAAGGAGAGTTATGTTAGAAAATGATAGTTGGTGTGATGAGATCAGAGAGATTTCAAGGTCAGTGTTGTAGTTGATTTGGGTGATTTTGGAGTTGAGGTTTGGTATTGTATTTGTAATTGCTAGGTCTTCTGTTATTTTGTTGAAGTTGGTTAGAGTTTGTATGATATTGTTGATGTTGTTGAGAGCACTATGAAGTTTAGTTGCAGCAGGAGAGAAGGTT